GCATATCACAAGTGTGAATACTAAAGTCAGGTTTCATAGTGCCTTGAGCATCGAAACTGTATGGAAAAACAATCATATGGGGCGAGCAATCCAACTGATCAGTGTTTGGTTTGGATAGAGAACCTAGATTTGATAGGAACCTGGTTATGATTGTGTTATACAAACCATAAACAATGTGGGATGGAGAGGAGGTGGATAGTATCATGATATGTGCCTGTTTTAGCTAATTTAGAGTTGGCCTACTGATAATAATTATGGGAGCCATGAATGTTATGTTGCACCGTGAAATTTTAGACAATATAGTACTACCAGCATTTCTGGGAAGCTGTACGGAAATCCACACTATTGGCAGTATGATAATTTCTCATGAAATACAGCACGCCTTTTCCAGCAGTTATTCAAAAGAAATAATGTTCAGAATTTTACTGGCGAGCCCAAGCCGATATCAAACTAGACCACTCTTGTATACTGCCTTTGGAGCAAATGGGATAGACCCCCAAAGCATAATTACAGTTGAAGATGCTTAGAAATGGTCAATAAATTGCTTAACTTTGCTGATGATATTAAGATATTGGGTGTTGCTAGCTGTGAAAAGGATGCTGCTGCTTTACAAAAGGATTTAGATCATCTAGTGAGTTGGGCAAATAAATGGCAGAAGAGTTTGAGTTATAATAAATGCAAGATAATACGTGTGGATTATCATAATTTGAATTATAAGTATAATTTGGATGGGAATAACCTTAACAGCGTCATGAAAAAAATGGATATTGGTATAATGGTCGATCAATCTCTTAAGCCATCCAAGCAGTGCGTTGTTGCTAGTGGTAGGGCAAGTATGATTTTTGGTTGCATCTACATAAATATTGAATACAAGTCTAAAAAGGTTATAATTCCATTGTATAGGTCACTGGTTAGACCACATTTGGAGTCTTATGTTCAATATTGGGCTCCTTACCTTAGGAAAAACGTTGAATTGTTGAAAAAGGTTCAGAGAAGGATTACCAGAATGGTGCCTGGGATGGAGGGGTTGTCATTCGAGGAGAGGCTGAAATCTCTCAAATTGTTTTCTCTTGAAAAACAAAAAGAGTTAGGGAGGATCTGATTGAGGTGTTTAAGATTTTAAAGGGAATTGATAGTGTTGATGCATCATCTTTGTTCATACTTAACAGCGAAAATGGTGGAACCAGGTAACACAAGTATAACTTTGGGCAGGGTGGAAGTCATCTTCAGCCAAAACAGTTTTATTTTTCTGACAAAGTGGTTGTCCTTTGCAATGGGTTGCCTTCGGATGTTGTGGAGTCAGTAAATTTAAGTGAGCGTAAGAGAAAGCTTGACAACTACAGAAATGATAAAGACCGACTTTAATATTTTTAAAAATTTACTTATTTAATAGTTTTAGTTTACTTTAAATGATGAGGCAACCGAAATGAATCAATAAGTCCCTTAGTGTTCCTAAACATTATGTTATTAGTAAAAGTAATAGGGTTCTATTCCATCAAATAGATGTCAATAGCTCGCAGCAGGTGCTAATAAAATGGATATAAATGCAAATAGTGTGAAATATCCCTGATCCTTCTATTGTATGAAAATGAGCTGCATTCGAGTATAGTCACGTGTGATTTATTGTTATAAAACCAGTCAGGCACTGCCATATGCGTATAAATGTACAGGCAGTAAACTATTCCCAGCAACATTATGATGATGTGTACTCATAGATCCCAGAACAGAAATGTTAGGTGAAAAACGTGTAGACATCAAAGTTTTGGCTGGTAAAGGCTACTACACGCAATGATTTAAAACCAAATTACATGTTTCAGTTGGGGCTTTATGAAAACTCTCAAGAGGGCACGTGAATTTAGTACTGTCGATAATAGAAGCGGTCGAGGTGGTAACTCCAAACTCTTCGAAAATGATATTAAATAACGTATGGTATTTTCTTCACGTGATACACGATGACTCAATAGAGATCCTGCCAATTATCTAGCTGTAAGTACAGATGTAAAGGTTACCTCCACTAAGATACACATTAGCAGGAAATGGTCTCAATGGATGTGAAGGTGTTCAAAAATAAAACCAACAGATAACCAAACCAAGAGGCTAAAATGAGCATCATACTTGAAACAATGGACTAAACAAAGCTGGAAGAGGGAGCTCTTGACAGATTAATCAAAATTGGGATTTTTTTTTTTTTTGTTCGACAGATTTACTCGTCCTATTGCAGAAAAGCTATACAATTGCAACAAGTTGTCCTATTGGATTTTGGAACTTTCGTATATTACATTTCCTTCAATAAATCGTAAAAAGTGGTTTCTCAATAACTGTGTGAATCAGTCACCAATCTAATAATAACACGATTGAAAAGCGGCACATAATAATGTGAATTTTATACTTTTACCTATATTCGATCTAAAAAAAGTTGAACGTGATACTTTCACAAGATCCAGAGTTAACACTGAATGTTTAAAAGTGTAGAATTTCATCGATTTAAGCTTGCCTTCTTAATGATGTAATTTTTTGTTTTCCAAGAGAGAAGTAACTGTTTGTTTTGCCCTAAAGGTACACTGAACAAATTGCTTCGCTCACATTTTTTTCATTTCCTTTACGAGATCGATACACTTTAGCCTAAAGTTACGTGTTAAACCAATGAAAAAAAAATTCACCATTTCAATTCCATTACTTCTCAACACTCGTTGAAGCGTCATAAAAACGATTATTTCTACATCCGGGAACTAAAGAATGATGTTTACGTTAAGGCAACGTCTCTGTCAGTGTCCTAAATCAACTTCAATAAAAGTCGGGTATGTTTAGAATTTACAAGGGTAACTAAAACATTTGGACATGCAGGATTGTTATTTACTGCATCTTTTACGTAGTACTTACTTATGCACCTGAACTGATATTTCATGTTGGACTATAAATGTGTCCAAGATATTCTGTGACATAAACCCTTGTTCGGATATCCATAAGGAAAACTTCAAGCTAAAAAGGCAGTAGTTTTTGAAGCTTAGTTAGACTTTATAAGTTGCAAATTTTTTTTCTCAAAAGACAATATCTGACTTGAAAATTTCTGAAAGATTAGTTTTGAAGTCTTTGTACCGAACACTTTCTTTCGTAGTGTTCAGTATTTCTAATTAATTCGCATTTTTTATTATTTACTTCATTTTGGAATGCGTTCTTGAGCTCAGCTTATAATACCATTTATCGTTTGCTTTTACACAGAACTTTGAGCACATCTTCAATTATAATTGTAGGCTACTACATGCAATGGGTTAAGACCAAATTACATGTTTCAGTAGGGGCTGTATGAAAACACTCAAGAGTGCACGTGAATTTAGTACTGTCGATAATAGAAGTGGTCGAGGTGGTAACTCCAAACTCTTCGAAAATGATATTAAGTAACGTATGGTATTTTCTTCACGTGATACACGATAA